TTTATGACAGATAGGGACTTCCTACACGCATAATATGTTAGTGTATATACGTAAATTTGAATTCAAAACAATGTTGTTATAGTATTCGGCAATAACAGGTCATAAACTGACTGGCTTGCCTAAATTAAGCAACAACAACAACTTAAAATGAGTCCGTCCACCAAAAATAGGAGAAAATCCCACATACATCTCCATTACTATTGTGTTCTCCACGAGTGCAAACCACGAGAAAAGGTGCATCGTTATATAGAAATACTTTGTTCATAATCATCATCATAATGATTATCTGTTTTGTCATTATGACTATTGCGACTATTTGTCATTATTCAAATAAAGGAGGCTAAAATGTGAATGCTTACAAGTTTCCAAGTTCACGAGTCAGCAGGATGAAATAATGTTTCCGTTGATAATTAATGGTCTGACTGATGTGTGTCTAGTATTCTTTCGGATTCATAATGACACATCGATGTTTTATAAAAACATGAACAGAAAATGTGGGATGATGTAAAATTAATGACTTGTGTCAGTGTGCGTGCAAGTATATACATGTAAAGAGTGTGTTTGTGTGCGTGGTTGTGCGTGTGTGAGTCTGTATCTGCTTGCGTAAAGGTGTTTATCTGCATATGACCTTCACAAGAGGAGCTGTAGTCCAGAATCTGGCCTATTTAATTTTGATCTCCACCACACCAAAGCTACCTCTCCCTACTTACTTGCTACCAGCCGATGATGGCGTGATCATTAAATTAAGACGCCAGGCTGGGCTGGTGAGCATAATTATGAGTTCGTTGATAACGCCATCTTCGACGGCTTGAATCAAGTGTAGGGAAATTATAAAGGACCGTGCAGATTATGGACTAGAAGAGCTGACGCAGAATACAATTATTTCTCTCTATGAATTTGTTTACCCAGGTACGCCTGATGAGCATCAGTACTGTTTTTTCTGCAATTGTTATTACCCCAGCAACTGCCGGATACCCATTTCACCTAGATGGGAAGTGGCAAATGTGATTAATTTCTTGCTAAAAGATGTTAGTGCCGGGCTGAGATTCGAACCATCAACCCTTAGATTGAGAGTCAAGTGAGTGAACCACTACACCACGACACCACGACACCCCCATCTCTCTCTCTCTCTCTCTCTCCCTCTCTCTCTCTGTTTGGACCTACTCATTTTCATTATCTAGGATATATGTTCCTCTATATTCACTTCATTATAGATGTGGACAGATGCCAGTTCAGAATAAACTTTTCGTATAGTCACATGTATAAACTCACATAATTTGAAAAGGAAATGCGTAACTTATGACCTGTAAATTAAGTGAAACCAACATTTAGTGTTTTATACGTGAAGATACCTTAATACAACAAAGAAAGTTACATACATGGTAGTTGTTTAGAGCCATTAATTACATTAACAATACCTATGTATCAACATACGAAATACTGGAATGTATTTTTTAACATATCTTAACAACTTAACAACTAAAATTTAAATTTAGTCTGATGACGTGTAGGTGTATTCAATTACTTTTATTTTTTACTGGTTCATACTATGTATCAGCAAACTAGCTAACCGATTGAACAGTCATGAAGAAAATGGCGGATCCTTTTGTGAGAAACGAGCGTGGTGTTGTATATAGTACGCCGTCATGACCCCATCTAAGCTTCAATGGCATGTAATGCAAAAATATATGAAAAGAGAAGCTATGCATGGTTGACTATTTCGAATGAGCCAAAACCAGCTCCTTGCAGCGATATTTACTTACAAAATATACTTTGAGCTTACCCACTTCAGCGTAAAATTGTTTGCATTTTCACATGATACGTCAACGTATTACTAAATACAAAATGAAAATCGCTTTAAAATGTCTGTATTAGTTCGGAAAACATAAGAATAGATATATCATTCACAATGATGCAAATCATTCAATCATCCGAAATATGACAGTTAGTACGTGCTATTTTAATTTCTAAGCACAGAGCCTTTCCTGAAGTCTATCTCCCAAATTATCGTACTTTTTATTAGATTCGCAAGAACATCACCACATAGGACAGTTTTATAAAAGCTACTTTGGCATTTACTTGAGCTAATTTTTCTACATTTTCTACATGTAGGCTACAGCCCTTAACAACGGTATTTTTTCTATCATGCCCTGTGTATTTTTGGTTTCGTCAGTCTAACGGACTGTCGGTGTATTGTGATATGGGCCTCGTGGACCTTTTGGAATTTCTCCATTTCTATATTTTCTAATGCATTTAAGTTTTTGATTCACTGTTGAAAGAAGAGTATTTTGGTTAGAATAGTAATAGATAGGTTTGATTAATCGTCTGCAAATGAAATAATGTAGTTTAATTATTTTGTTTTATTATCAAACTGATCCGTGAGAATGTTTAAAAAGTTATCATAAGTTTCATTTACATCGTCAGAATCATTAATTAGTTGTTAATCGATGAAAATGATTAACCTTGTAACCCCAATCGTGAGATCGAATTCGGGTCTTCTTTGTAAAGTGCCTAAATGTGGGGTTTCACCGCTCCACAGAATTAATAGTAATGTGAACAATGTATACACTACCTGCTATTGAAGGAAGAAAACAAATCCAATGATATAATTCAACTGTCTGGGTTATACTCTGGACTTTAACCCCGAGAGCTTTCGTGGGTCGAGATGAATAGCAGGTATAGAAACACAAATATCTGCATCGTTATGCATGAACAATAGATATACATTAGAGCTCCTAGCCCCTCCCCTTTTCCCTCAAAAAGGGGACAGAAAAAGGGGAGAAAAAATAGGAAATAAGAAGCATAATTTAGAGGTGATGACATTCCTCTTTTTATTCTATGTTTTCGCTTCTAAGAGAATTAAAAGACTTGCCCCTTACATTGTGTATCAGCAATACGCCAAAATATATGTAGAGATGTATATTTAATTGAGATGAGTATAGATGTAGATGTATAATAATATATTCGTGCACTTTTGCAAACGTATGTAAAATCAAGCAATTAGTTTGTGTTTCCTTATTACTAAATGTAGTCGTCATGAAGATCATGTAGATCAGAAGTTTGGAAAATCATAGGTAGACGGTAGAAACCACGACCAAGTTATATCATGTCATTTATTTCAGTGCAATACAGCATGATATGAATAAACACACATGTTATCTGAACATCGTTGTGATATTTCGTATCCTTACTTTGGGTTTTATTTTCTCAGTCTTCATTAATATTATATGAAGGAAGAACAAAACTGACTAGGACAAACAGACTTTACCTCATCGACTTTAATTTGTAACATATAGATTTGAATTGTACAATGCATAACAAATAAAATAATTTAGCTGTCTTGGGTTTAAAGGCAGAGTATTCTACAAATATTGCTATCATACTCTTATAATGTATTTTCAATTGCGCTATCTTTTCGTTAGGGTGTACATATACCCAAAGCATCATCACCGATGCGTCATCAGTTGGTGATGCATTTTGGGATATTATTGGCAGCAGATGGCAATATACGTAAATCTTAATAAGTGCAAGTAAAACACTATGCCTTTAAGTCCACGTCGACTATTGATTTGTTACAGTATACGTTTCTATGCAACCATACCAAACTCAGACAAATTATACCCGTTAAACTTTTTGTTTGATGATTTGATCACATGCCCAAGGGCCAACGTTAACAATTCGAAAATCGACTGTATTGTCTATCTCATGCAAGGCAACCTGTGATGCAATGAAGGAGTAATATCGGGGAATCGTATTGCTTCGCAGGTTTCATTGCGCAAGATGGAAAACTTTGTGCGTTTCGAGTGAAACACACGCACTGTGCGTAATTATTCTTGGGTTGTTTAATATGCTTGTAAATGTGGCCATTTCGATTCATGCAAATTAAGCAAAATGCCTAAAGTTGCTTTTAAGGCAAAACGCTTAAATTTTCGGAGACAACGTGGGATCTCAAACCAATGAAATAAATAAACTTTATAAAAAGAACATTTCAAATCTACAAGACACTGGTAGAGTTAAAGCGATTTTGAATAGCGCCATCCATGTCTTGAGCTGTGACACCACTGCAATATTTCCTATTATCTTCAAAGATTTCTTCGTGTATGAATTGTGTGATGCACAAATTGTTTTTCTTTCCATTACTTGCAACCGTTGTATACCTAATAATTGTGTCCATGTCCTTCAAATTAGAACTACATTTCATTTCATTTCATGAATTTATTTCCATGTCAACATGAAAACAAAATTATACAATCTTCAATACAAACATATATAATGCAATATCTGAAGTGAGAGGACCATGAAAAGCACATAAATAGCGCGGTTAATAATTTTCATCACCAACTACACAAAATAAAAATAACTTAACAATACATAATCTACATAAAATCTAGATTACAAAAAAGGAAGATAAAGAAAATAGAAAAAAAAGGAGAAAACATTTCATAAACATTGAAATTGCAAGTAGTAAAACAATTTTCAAAAATAAATTGCTTTTGTAGTCGTTTAAAATAGTTGAATCCTCTTACTATTCTTAATTTATCTAGGAAGGTTATTCCATAAAACTGAGCCGTTATAGAAGATGGAATATCGAGATATCGGGAAACGGTTAAATGGGAGATGAATATTTTGAGCATTCCTGGTATTAAAATTATGGACAGAACAATGTAAGGTTAGATCATTAATATGGACTTCAGGAAGCTTTTTGCTGAGTAGTTTGAACACAAATACTGCAGTTATAAAGATATTAATTAATGAATATGTAACATTTTCATTTTACTAGAGGATAATTGCGGAGAATGCAATCATGATCGAGTAACACTTTTCTGTAATTGTTAAATTCTTTCAATATTTTTGTTGTTGCTGTAAGACCAAAACAAATTATTACACCAGTTAATATGGAATAATATAAATATACAAATGTTTATTGAAGAAAAAATTGCAGTTTGGTAAAAATTCCAATACTTCTTGATACTTCTTGATACTTCTAATATTCTTTATTGTTTAGTGCTCCATTAATTTTATTAATTAAATCACGTATTGCAGTTACTGTTGAATGGCCCTGTCTAAATCCGAATTGATTTTGAGAAGTATATTGTATTTATCTAAAATTTCAATTAATCTTTAAAACGCATTTTTATAATATTTTGGAAAATATGGACATAACTGATATTGGACGGAAGTTGTTAAAATTATTTTGATTACCCTTCTGGGGAAATGGGTGTGACGTGAGCAACCTTTAATATTGTTGGGAAGGTACCACTACTTAACAAATTGTTAAAGATAACAGATAAGGGTTTACTTATTACAAACATTACATACTTTACAACCTCGGGCAATTATCTCCCAAGATTTCATGGTTTTTCTTTTGTCCATCGTTATCAATATACAATGAATTCCATCAAAAATCCTTTCTCTTTCCAAACCTACTACACGGTACACCTAGATTGAGAAAAGGGGAGTGTCGATTTTTTCTTCTTCAATGAATTCGCACGGTGGAGTGACGACTTATGTGCAATCAGCATCACTATAGACAGTCTAATTTCATGATTTAACAAAAAGGTTCTTAGATCTGCGACTCGTCATGTTTCGGCTTGGAATCGGCAATGATCGGCTCCTCGATGATTTTCCGAATGAAATTCATCCACGTGACAGCTCCGATATCAGAAAACTTCATGGCGGTCCTCAGCCGTACATCCTCGCTGGTTAGAAACCGAACCGGTCCGTTGTAGAGGTCCATTTCGATGATTTTCTGGACGATGTCGGTGATTTCTTCCGTTGTTTGGAACATTTCCTCGAAGTAATGTCTGTAATATATGAAGATAATGATGATAATAATGATTATTATAGTAGTAATAATAGTAATAATGATGATAAAATTAATGAAAATCTGAGGGCCAAAGTCAAATATCTTGCTTACCTTTGTAATTGGTTGCCACCTCTGCGTGGCAGTGGGAGCCCCTTAGCAGCACAAATAATAGAAAGCCAAGTAGAAGGGAAAAGAAAAAGAGGCAGACAGAGAAAGCAATGGTTTGATAACATCAAAGAATGGACAGGTCTCACATATTCAGAAGCCAAAAGATTAGCACAGGATAGAAACAAACGGAGAAAGACAACAAGAAGATGGGCAGATGTGGTCGCCAATCGCCAGCAACTGACGGTGGCAGCCAGGTAGGTTGCCAGGTAGCCAGGTAGCCACTACCAGACAATCTAGAACACGTTGTTTGATCGAAGTATTTTATAACAATGCACAATATTTCAGAAGTTTTTGAATGAGGATACATAAAGAGGCCTTTTTGACGAAAAGTTGTGATTTAAGAAAAATACTTCAAGTAAAACTTTCAACGCCGTGAGTTTGAAGTCATTATACAGACGAATAAATGATTTATATTTTGATACCAATTTTAATGGAATTCGGATTTATTAACATCATAATTGTAAGTAAAAAATATGATTTTTTTTTTTTTTTTTTTTTGGAGGGGGGGGGGATGATATTTTTTCAAAATCTGAGATTTCTTTTCTTTTTACTTTCCATGAATTCTCCCATGGACAATAACAATATATTGTGCCAAGGAGAGGCTTTTATCTAATTTTATTAAAAGGTTATAGCAACCCAGTGTTATTGACTTGATTTCCACAAAAACGACATATTTGCCCATATGCATATGCATTGAGGCCGAGTTTTGAGTGTACAAATCGAGGAAAACCTTAAATCACCATTTGTTTGGTGTCATAAGATGGATAATTACAAATCGTTTTTGTGGAAGTCAAGTCAATAACTTGTTACTGAAAAAAGGGATATGAGCTTCTGCTTTACAAAAATTAATATCCTAGTACATATGCAAATTTCTGCAAAGTTTCGGGAAAAGACTTCTCCAATTCTAAAAATATATTCCGATATGGAAAAAAAAGTTTTTGGATAAAATTCAATTTTTTGAAAAAGAAAACACATAGAAAAACATGTTTTTTTTTACTTCAAATTGTGATGTTAATTTATCCGAATCCCTTTAAAAGTGGTATCACAGCGTAGATAGATAAATTTCTATTATTTTGACACCAATTTCATGGTGCTTTAATGTTTACGAAATACTTTCTCTAGTCAAAATGGCCGTTTTGGGGCCAGTCCCCTCCGACATATGGGTTACCGCTACATATTAAAAAAGAAAACACCTCTGAAATATCATGTGTTAGGATAATACGAATTAACGAGACGTGGCAGGCACACCTTTTTTTAAACTGTGTTCTTCCACTTATGATGATAATTATAATGATGATAAAAACAACAACGAAATTAATAATACTAATAATAATAACAATGACACTAATGGCAGCTGTGCTTGCAGCTGTGATCCTTTTTCAATAGGCCATTTTCGTAATGTAACCAAATTTAGTGCATAAGTCTTTGTGAAGTGCCTCAATGCATATCATTTCATTCACCTGATAAGAATAATAGTTTTTCAATAGTCAGAATTCAAACTGGAAATATTAAGTGTTGCTAAGTAGGTCAAGCCATAGGCCCGAATTCACAAAGCAAGGTTTGAGCTCAAACCCCCTTTTGTTTCGCCAAACCTCCTTTTGTTCTTTACAAACCAGGTTTGTAAAAAACGCGTAAAACGCGTCATATGACATACGAAAACCAAGGTTTGTCGACAAACCTCCTTTGTGAATTCGGGCCATAATGTTTGTCCAACCTGGCAACAACTAATGTATGCGGTTCGGATTCTGTCTAATAAAATACTATTATTCTTTTCAGGTGAATGAAATAATATGTATTGAGGCACTTCACAAAGGCTTATGCATTAAATTTGGTTAGATTACGAAAATGGCTTATTGTAGCTAAAACGGTTTAACTCTGACCAACTTAAATGCAATTTCCGTTCTGGCAATAGTAGTACAAAGATGGTAGCAGGTGAATGCAATGCTTCACATACCTTGGAAGGAAGCATTCACTATGAACATGACGGACAAAGAAAGAGGACAAAATATACAGTTCCTCAGGTAGACAAAGAAACATCCCTTCACTGCTATTATGCAAAAATGTGTAGAACAGGTGAATATGCATGTGACACCTGTTCTACACAATTTTACATAAAAGCATGAAGTGAAGGGATGTTCCTTTGTCTACCTGAGGAACTTTATATTTTGTCCTCTTTCTTTGTCCGTCATGTTCATAGTGATTCATGACTTTAAATACATTTACTTGATAAATGTCTTCACATAGAACGTCACGTTATCCAAAAAATGGCGTTGCCCATCCAGTGCTCAGAAACTGTACATTACTCTTGCTTTATGCCTCTCTCATACACTTTGGTGAGGAATCTTGTAGATTGATTGGCAAGAATTTAATACATCTCTTAGAATAAGTTAAGTTATTTCTTGGGGTGAGGTTTTTTTTTCAGCACGCTTTTCCTCCATCATGATCACGCAATATTGCCGTCCGTACATTCAGACTCATTCTGGATCAACAAATAAAGCATTTCGATCATTACTATTAGGAAGTTTTTCTTATGATTCCCATTAAAAAAAGAATAAGAATGTATTTTGCAAATATGTTGTATATTACAAACTTAAGTATGGATTTGTGAAAATTTGCTTAGGCTTTTAAACGTATGTGAAAATGATTAAAGTAATTATATTCATAAAGGAGAGGAGTATGTTATGGACATATAATTCAAAGATATTCATTAGTGTGTGTAGGGGCAAAGAGTCACGCTCAGTACAAAGTTTCTTTCATTGCTGTTTGTATATTTAAAGAGAATGTTAAGTTCTGGGAAGAGGTGGAAATAATTTGTGAGCATTAATATTTGTATTATGTAAGTGTGGAAGAACGAGAGAAAAAAAAAAATTCCGTGAAAAGCATGGATCTTCAAACACCTTAATATTCTAAATATGGCATGTAACATCATACAAATCGGGACGAATTGTTATGCAACATGTTCATGTAGTCCCATATACATCTTTTTGTGTCAAGTGCTTGTAACTTTACCAAGACTGGGCCAATTTCTTATCATTTTGATGATTCCAGAACCTTGCAGTACGTACCGATACTTATATGCTAGATGATCAACCTGTTCTAATCGATTCCACAACGTTTCTGTCACAATGCAATCACATGACCAGGACTCAACTTTATCTTTAAGTTTATAAAGATAAAACAAAAGCTTCTTACTTCTGATGTGTGCTCAGTATCTTGAGTTGTTCTCTTGTGATTGGATCGACCTTCTTTCTTGAAGGCAGGCGGTTTCCCTCAACGATATTATCATTGATGCTTGTAGCCACTGGGCCTGGTACCACGCTAGTTAATCTAAGTTATACAAGGAAAATCAAGTCAACATCAGTTTAACCCTTTCAAGACAGCCATTCAACATTTGGATTGGTTTAGCTCAATAATATTGGTTTCGGCACACCCTATAACCATACTTGTTACAAAACCATAATGGCCCGAATTCACGAAGCAGGTTTGTCGACAAACCTAGGTTTATGTGCGTCATAGACGCTTTTCGCTGCGTTTCGACGCGTTTCAAACCAAGGTTTACAAATCATGGTTTGAAACGCGTCGAAACGCGTCATATGACGCACATAAACCTAGGTTCGTCGACAAACCTCCTTTGTGAATTCGGACCAATACGTTTGAAGCCAGGAATATTTCCGTCCTAAAGTTTATAAGGTTTAAAATCCTTAAATTGTCAATACGTTAAGAGGTTCAAGATTTAGCTTTCTTCTTCAAGTGAAGAACTGACAACAGACAATGATTGTCGACTCTTTACCAGAAGGTGGAATATGTCTTTGGACAGTGCGTTTTAAAACGTGTACCCAACTTTGGTAGCTTTTAAGTAAGAAATAATAACCTATGTGACCGTTAATCATATTTCATGATAAAGCAGAACTATTACCCTGTCTAATGATACCATTTTCATAGTTGGGCTGCCACGGATGACTGGGGGTAGGCTTTTCAAAAAGTAATGTTCAAATCCTCTGGTAGCAAGTTTAGGCTAAAGCCATGATTGTGGGTCAATTTTTTGTGCTATGTCATTCTAAAACAATTGCTCACACATTTACATCGACTATTTGGTAGTTGGAAGAAAAAAATGTGTTAATATCAATTCAAACTCAAGGAAATGCTTACTATAAGTAAAATTTATGGTAATCTCTTCGTTATGATGATTATAATCTTGACTCCATTTGCATATCTTGTTAACCCTTCTCATTGAGTAATACAAGATTTATAAAGTTTATTTGGGATGTTATCTTTTTTATGAAATCCTATTTTCAGAGTATGTAATACTTATCACCATAGGGTTCTTTCTTGCATTTGGTTTATTAGATACCCTTTGATTTTTCATTCGCTATTCGAGATAAACACCGTATGGTCATTACGTTAGAAGGCTATTCAAAATAATTAAAGGTTATTCTATGGATTGAAACGAGGTTTTGTGAAAGCCTAAATTCCATCATTCCATCATTTAAAAAAATGAAGCACTGAAGCATGATGCATGATTTAGCTTTTAAAATGATTTAAGACGAAAGATGCACATTCATATCGCATGATCCACGTTGAAACAAGGCGATTTTGGCAACACTTTTAAAAGACCCTGGTGGTCGGTCACCCGTGGGAAACATATTATTAATATGGTATAATTAGACAGAAAAGGGGTTACTCTTTATCATGAAATTGAAATGAAAGTCATATTGGCTATGCCTATATAATTAGAAGCTCCCAAATTTGGGCAGACTATTTTCTATACGCACAGTCATCTTGCAACATGGAGATTATTTCCATCATGTTAAAAATTAAATATATTTCGATATCCTCTTATCTTCCTCGTTTTCTGAACTGTGCACGCGTAGCAAATTTGCAACACATTTTCAAGTCTTGCATAAATTTGTCCTTATTTGACGAATACAAAGCCAACAATTAGTATATTTTGCAATTCCTACGGCTGTTTTATGATTTCTTCTTCACTTGCCCATCTTTCGTCAACCGCCGCAGGACTATTATCATTTTTATTTAATTTTAATTTTGTTATGTTTATAACATATATATATATATATATATATAAGTGCGAGAATTCTCAACTCCGACATGACAACGGGTGTTCCAGAATATGTAGGCGTGAAGAAAAAGGTCTAGGAACGTGAGACGTAGCTGTCTTGTAAAGTACAGCTACGTCTCACGTTCCTATACCTTTTTCTTCACGCCTATATATATAGTACAAGTATATAACGAGAGATGAGAAAGAGAAGGGGATTGGAATATAAACTAAAGACTTACTTGACGTTGAATGCTTTCATCCTGATTGCTAATGATTCAGTGAGTCCTTCCATGGCGTGCTTTGAGGAACTATATGTTTCATAGAAGGGATGACCTACAGACAGAAAATAGATTGTTTGATCTCGTTCCATTTCATTTCATTCAATTTCATCTCACTTCTTTTTATTTCATCTAATTTCCTTTGAGTCCATTTTGTTTCATTCCTTATCTTTGATTCAGTCCATTTCATTTTGTTCAATTCCATTTAATTTTAACATTTTGTTTCGTTTCATTTCATTTCACTTCATTTCATCTAATTTCAATTTAATTTAACCTATTCAATTCTACTTCATTGAATTAAATTTCAATTCGTTTAATTTAATTTTAATTTGGTTAAATATCATTTAATTTCATTAAAAAAGATTTGATTACATTTGATTTTTGATTTTTGATTTTTCTGTAGAGCGGCAATCTCACAAACCGGGAGTAGTAATGCATTAATTCTCATTACCAAGTACCTCGGAGAGGACCTATAACCTCTCAAACGTTGTCTAAGCAGTTAGGTAAAATAAACCAACCCTACCAAAACCAAACAAAATTGGTTTAGACCGTGTACCTAAGGATCCTCCGATGGAGCTGACGTTAATGATATGTCCTGATCGCTGTTCCTTCATGTGAGGTAAGACTGCTTGCATCATCCGAACAACCCCGAAGAAGTTTGTCTCGAACACATCCCGAACGTCAGCCAGTGGAGTGTACTCAAGAGGGCTGAATGTGGCGATACCAGCGTTGTTAACTACATAATATAATAATAACACAGCATTTGTTATGCGCCATCGATCTAGTAAACTATTCTGAGGCGCAGAGGGATAGAATTAGAATGAAATACATAGAGAAATGAGAAGTGGGGGGGGGGGGGGTGGGAGAGAAAAGAAAAAAATGCATAGATGTACATTCAACACATAATTAACTAAAATAACATGCGAACATATATGACTTTAGATTCTTTTAAAATGTTTCTAGGGATTCTAGTGGGGGAGAAAAAGCAAAAAGTGGACAGAAGAAGAGAGGGAGAGAGAGAGAGAGAGAGAGAGAGAAGAGACAAATATAGACAGGGGGAGGTAAAGAAACAAACAGAAGGACGAGGATATACTCTCTTAAATATCGATGTAGTTCAAGTCATTGGAGCAGGTGCTTAACCGTTACAGTTCAGCTTTAAAATCCCCTTTAAATTCGGAAAACAAAAATATTTCTCCAAATTTGGGGAGTCCATTTCCCAGCTTACCTGCCCCTCGTTATCTCGTTATCTTTCTCTCTCTAGTACTCTATTTCAATCTCTCTTTCTCTTTTTGAATCTCTCTTTCTCTCTCCCTCTCTCTAGTACGCTGTTCCTCCCCTCTCACTCTCTCACTCTCTCTCTCTCTCTTTTTCTCTCTCTCTCTCTCTTTCTTTCTAACGCTATTTTTATCTCCATTATTCGTGACCAAAGCAGGGGCGGCGATTTCTTTTCATGACCGGGGGGACGAAATGGGAGATTTTCCACAAATATGTACTTGTTCATTTTGAAGGATATTATGCGAGGGGGCGTAGCGACCGAGCGATAAGATTTTTGCATTTTTATTAGTCTAAACGCTGCACTTTTGGGCCCTCCAGAGCCTAAAAGTGTGTTGCATTCTTTAGTCAGTATTTGCTATACTTTATTGGTGCACTGTTTCAAATTTTCCAGGAGCCGGGGGGGGGGGAGGGACGATCCCCCTTAAAGAAATGAAGGGACCCCGTTCCCCGGGATGGCCGCCTCTGGACCAAAGTAATCGTTTTTGTATTGGCTTTCTCCATTCATTGATAAAGAGGCTAAATATTAACAACGTACTTGTATTATCTAAATATCTGGTTTTCTCCAACCACCTTTTACAAAAATAGATCTCATCGGTTTATATCAATAGCCTTTAAACCTGTTTTCAAACATTGAATATTTTGGCGCGACGTGTTATACTGTCCTACTTCTACCATTGTTAATAATAATTTCGATTGCTCAGTAGAGCTACAAATAGAAAGTACCATAGCACTTACAAATTCAAAGAATGTGAAGACAAACCTTAAAATTCACAGAGTCACTACTAAGGTAAATCACATATATTACTGAAGTAAGAAGTTTGGTTTAAGTAATCTTTTGAAAGTGGTAATTCTCTGATATATCTTTTAACCCCCGTATATACCGATGAAACTAGGGCTCATGTATATCAGGTACCCAATTTCACCTGGGTGGGGAGTGGCAAATGAAGATCAATGTCTTGCCAGACTGAGACGCCAGGCTGAATTCAAAGTCTGTACCTTAAGATGTGTACCGATGTATTATCCACTATACAAAACCAACCCTACATAGGAAAACCGATTTAAAGGCTGAATTAATTAGTTTCGCGAGTTAACTTTGTCATATGCGGTATCTTTATTTCTTTCTGTTATCTTTGTAGAGGTGATAGGTTCCAGTCACGGGACAGTGAACCATAAACTACGAGTTTGACTCCCTTTCACGACACTAACTTCATTTGGCAAGATATTAATCTACATTTGCCACACTCCACTTTGGTGGGGAATTACTTCCTTAAAATGATAGAGCGCTGTAATGGCTGCCGAACTAAGATGGTGTGATGATGATGGAGCGCAAGAAGTTACAAATATCTACCCATAAGCGCCAGACAATACTCAAATATTAATATCATTATCATCATCATCACTCTGGTTGTCGTTACTATAATAATCATTATTATCATTATTAATTGTAGTAGTATTATCAGTAGAAATATACTTCTTGACTTACTGACTAGGTCGATTCGACCATGTTTGTCGACGATTTCGTTGACGGCATTTGTCACCGAGTCATCTTTGACGACGTCAAGAGGACGGATAAAAATCGTGTCGTTGAGGGCGTCACCTGCGGCAGTCTCGAGGGGCTCTTTCTTCCCAAGGTTCCTCATGGTCGAGTAAACCATATACTTTTTCGCTGCGTCCTTCCCAAGTTTGACTGCTATATTGAGTCCGATACCTGTTGAGCATCCCGTTATCAGCGTAATTTTCTGCGCCATTTTTTTGATAAGTTTGTATGCGTCTGTTTTTTGTTTTTAAAAAAGAGGAAGAAAGAAAATAGATAATAATTGAATTCTTTTGTTGACAACACAGATCGCATAGAAGGTTATGAAGAAGAGCCTACACGAATACTGATAAGATATACGTTATACAGTTTAGGTTAGTTCCCTCACACATCATGTTTCGTAGTCTGGTAGTAATCGGAAAACGTTCGTATATTACAATATTTTGTTATTTTCGTAAAATCTACATGCCTGTATTTCTTTAGTTCAAGTACAATTTGCTAAACAGTACCAAAAGTAATATGTGTCTTTATTTAAAAAAAAAAATTCCTTTGTAAAATGTATTAATCTATCACTGTTTACCTAATTATATGAATGTAAGTGCATATCACATCAAAAGAGTTTGCACGCCTTTTGAACAAATACAGATCATCACTGTAAACTAAAGCAATTTTAACATTAAGGAAAACATATATTTTTTAATGTTAACATGATCACATAATTCAAGTCATGCGATAATCAGATATACATGATAGCATAAATCGACTATCTCTGACTCTCTTCTCTCTTCTACTTCTTCTATCTCTGTCTCTCTGTCTGTCTCTCTCTCGGTCTCTCTTCCCCCCTCTCTCTGTTTCTCGATTTACCGTTGCAATGATGTTCCCCATGACACTGAATAGTCGAGTATTTTTCTTGGGTGAATATTATTCTCCTAGTTGGGGTCTAGTATTGAACGTCATTTTCATTAACACATTATTCTACTAGATGTAATCCCTACTCTTAAAGATTCAGCAAAATGTATAGTGTATTTTACATCATCGCTACCCCTGCTGTAGTTCATTTTCAAGTGCGCTATCATTCCTGGGCTTAAAGGGACTTGGTTACATTGTTCAGATGAGAGAAAGTAGTGCTAAGGTAGTGACTTCAATGCTAGATGTACAATTAAAGATAATCTGAAAGCTTGAGTGAAAACGGATCATTATTAAGGACATAAATTCGGAAAAACTGATCAGATCAATTCCTTAATTCTCCAAACTATATTATTACAATTTAATTACATTTTAATTTTTAAATGTAAATCGTCACAAAGCAATGAATTGGCTACATATACCATTCCAGACATTTAAGTGTTGACAGATTTTGTACAGCCTGTTTATGTCTTTTTTGTTCATGAAACGGTTGGGAAAATTCAAAAATAGTTGGGAGAATTTACTGTTAATCACTGTTAGCGGGTGTTGCACAGTGACACCTTCAAAGAAAACCGTAGATATCTTTGTGGTTTGAGAATTTTTTTCAGGATTTGTTTGCATGTCAGAGGGTTAGTACAGTAAAAGGAATATAAAAAGTAACATTTTTTACAAAAATCATGCAATTTTCTTGTTAAACTTTCAACAATGTCACCGAGTCACTTTAAGCATCATCTCGCACGAGTCATGCAGTTGATGATAGATTGTGAGAAAGATTAATGACTATTCGGGACATTGTGAGCAGCTACAGCGGCAACAGCAAGTGGCAATTAACGTTAACTTGAAGTAGTGTCAGTAGAATACCCTATATTTAGAACGTATGTTTACTTTAGGTTAATAACAAACTATATGGGGTTCGTCAAAAACAAAGATATATAATTTTGCCATAAAGACTCAAAATCATTTTCCAAATGCGATATGAAATGAAAATGTTCGTGTAGATATGGACAAAGCCAATCAAATAATGCGATCACCTAAATTGTCAACATAACTATTGCAAAGTAGAAATATATAATTTTTTTATTGTACCAATAATCTTGTTAAATGTATCAAATAATAATAATAATAATGATAATAATAAATTGATTGCAATATAATAACTACCGTTTAACAGTACCTTTTTTAATGCATTAAATCATTTGCTGAGTTAAGATTTGTATTGACCTACTATGTTTCAATGGACATTTTATAAGCTTGTTTCATGTTTTCTTCCATTTCCTTGTTGATATGACCATGTTAGTTTTCCTGACTTTTGCCTTGTTCTTTTTTTCAAACAGTAAAACCGTGATTGAATTTAATAGAAAAAACCGGATAAGAATTAAGCTTCGAGGTAGAATTGAAGGTTTTCGCAGAAATAAAATCTTATTCTCTTGAATATTTCCCCAAAACAATGGTTTTAAAGAGAAAGGTGAACGCTGGATGCTCTATTGCTTTCGGAAGAAGGGTCAATTAAGGGAAAAGGGATAAAAGTGATAGGCCTATCAGGGAAAAGACCACGAGGATAATAATTAATGCACACCACAAAGTTTAAAAATAGAAGAACATATCAGTAAACCATGTATATCCCTCCAGAAATGGAGGGAATTGCTGAAAATGTGAAAATCATCATAATATTATGAGGAAATAAAGAAGACCAGTAGTTGTTATTTTACAAAACAAACAAAAAATACCAAAATTAACAAAAGTACCAAATTACTCTTACCTGTCAGGTAATAATTTACTCTTTAGGAGCCGGGAGACTTGAAAATAGATGTCTAATCCAATCAAGACGAATCCTAGAAGTGCTGTTCCTGTGCCTTCCGCGAGGATAAAGACAGTTATGTTAGGATATTTGTGTTTCGTGTTCTTTAGAAAGGGGTCATTGCTCCATTGTATGCTGACGTAGAGGAGGGGTCTGTGATGCTCTGTAATTGGTCAGAATGCCGATTATGGTAGTGCTATGCTATATTGTGATTGGTTAATACCACTGCTTGAACACCTCTTAATGGCTCGTGACTTTATCGGATCGCATTAACGAGTTTCTTAAAGAAGAAGGACAATTTGGTTGTTGGTTCTTGGCATAAGTTGTGTGTGGGCGAGTGTATGCGAGCGTATGTGTGTGGGTGGGTGCGTGTTACCTAGTACTGGGTAGTGAGGTGTTTGGATTGTATCTAGACTTTCAACCCAAGGTTAAAGGTATAGACCAGTTCTGGTCATGCGATTGCATTGTGAAAAAAACGTTGTGGAATCGATCAGAAAAGGTTGACCATTTAGCATATAAGTATTCGTGTATACTGCAAGGTTCTGGAATCATTAAAATGATATAAAATTTGGACCAGTCTTGGTAAAGTTACAAGCACTGTATACAGAAAAATGTATATGGGACTACCCTATATCTTTCCAGTCCGGATAGATATGATAATTTATCAAATATATCAATTATTAGGCGGTTTCCCGGCAAAATTTATATCATCACGTATTAGTCAAAACATATTCTTTCACATGATTGGTAATAAGAGCTTCATTTTTTATTTTGTAAACGCTCGTGACTTTATCGGATCTCATTGACGAGTTTCCTAAAGGACAAGAACAACTAGGGTATTGGTTCTTGGCATATCAAGTTGTGTGTGGGTGAGTGTGTGCGCGCGTGTGTGAGTGAGTACGTGTTATTTCATACTGAGTAGTGAGGTGTTTGGATTGTGTCTAGACTCTTAATTCAAGGGTTAAGATTTCGAATCCTAGCCTGACCCTTACGTCCTTTGGCAATACATTAACCTTCATTCCCCATTATCCACCCAAATGTAAAAGAGTACTTGGCCATTGGAGGGCCCGTAGGAAGAGCAGCATTGATACTGATGTCTATCCTGTATCAATAAGATAAGACCCAAATATTAGTATGACTTATGTATCAATAATTCAATTACGAAATCACCTCAAAACAATAAACAAAATGTAACATAGTTGTTTTTTCTCCATATTACGTGTAACAAGAGCGTATTTTTTTTGGTAAGGCTTGTTAAAAATTCCTGAACTGTAAAGCTATCATTTCGGCAATGAACGACGGACGAAGCTTTGCACAATTTCGTCCATGCCCATATTTAATTTCCTTACTACTTGTTTATAAGTCACTTTGTTTGATGAGGAAAACTGAATTAGTTGAAGTCACAATTGGCCTCATTTCTTAACAGTTTTACAGGCGTAATGTAAACACTTCAAGTATATTTAAAACTCAAGTGTTTCTAAATTAATACACTGGAAGCTTAAAATAGGCAACAGGTCTGAATAATCAAGATTTGATATGGTTTTTATCTGAAAACAAATACCTAAAATTACGCTTGTCAAATATTACTCTAGTCAATAAAAAGGTTATCTGATCTGAAGAGCTCGGTTCCAAAAGGTACTACATCCATTTTTTAGCCATTTTTTTTGTTACATTAATGTACTTATTTTTATTAGCCACATGCACTGACACTTCCAAAAAAAAAAATCCAAAAAAAAAAAATGGCATTTAAAAATCAGTTCGGTTTCAAAGTTTGTTGCATCCATTTAAGTTATGCATTGTAACTTACATACAGTATGTAAGATTTCGGCTCCGAAACGTACTACATCCAATGTCTATTCCAAAAGGCATATAGGCTATTACTGTTTATCCACAAAAATTAAAAAAACGTAACTTCAAGAATACTTTGTGTGCAGACTTAAATTTGTGTAAAGAGTGGTTATATACTTGTGTCATACAATAGTATAATCAGCCAATGAAGTATTATTCCAAACTGACAGGGCTAATTATGGTAATTCGAAAATCGTGTTTTCTCAGAACTTGGATTTATGGATGTAGTACCTTTTAGTGTGGTTCGGCAGGCCACTGAAACAGCTCCCGTAGGACTTTTGTGCTAAAACTGATTTTTGTTTGTTTTGTTGCATTTTTGGATTCATTGAGGTTCAAGCTATCAGAAATTGATGTTTTTTTTTGTGAAGACACCAAATTTCCCTATTGCGCTTTATATAAGCCATTTTGGCGCAATATGGACCCCAAGAAGTGAAGGAGGGGTCTGAAAATTTAAACCCCATCATTTTTGGCCAATTGGGACCCTTTTGAAGCCAGAACAGCAAACAAAACAAAAACAAACAAAAAATAAATTTTGGCAAAAAAATCATACATGATTTCATGCCATACCGCACTATTTTGGAACGGAGCTCTACATACTGAACCAGACACAACAATATATGGTGCGATGTTTATACAATACAACAGTTGTTATCTGTAAACAAATATAGAGCTTAAATT